CAATGACTTCCAGGCTTGTATCAGAAATAGTGCAGCCAGCAGGAGCAGTAAGGTGATCATCTCCCTGTACTCAGCTCAAGTGAGGCCGCACCTCAAGTGCTGTATACAGTTTTGTGCCCCACACTACAAGAAAAACACTGAGGCCCTGAAGCACATCCAGACAAAGGCAAAGAAACCAAAAGAGGTCTGGAGCACAGTACTTATGGGAGGAGCTGAGGGAACTGAGATTGTTCAGCCTGGAGAAGAGGAGGCTCAGGAGAGATCTCATCGCTCTTTACAACCACCTGAAAGGAAGATGTGACAAGGTGGGGGTTGGCCACTTCTCTCAGGTAACACTAATAGGATGAGAGGGAATGGCCTCAAGTTGCACTAAGGGAGGTTCAGGTTGGATATTAGGAAACATTTATTCTCAGAAAGAATGGTGAGGCACTGGCTCAGGCTGCCCAGGGAAGTGGTGGAGTCACCACCACTGAAGGTGTTTAAGGAAATAGTAGATGTAGTTCACAAGGAAATGGCTTAGTGGGCAATATTGATGGTAGATGGATCATTAGACTAGATGCTCTTAGAGGTCTCTTTCAAACTTAAAGATTCTATGATTCTCTGAGTGCCCAGGCCACAAAGCTCAGCTGATACGGCTGCCTCTCCCTGCCTCTTCTCCAGTCTGCCTGCTCTCTAACACTGTCATTTTTATGGACTTTTGTCCTCTCTGTATATCCTGAATACAAATTTTGTGAATACCCTGAGAACTAAATTCTGCCTTAGCCTCCAGTAGTCTTTGCTAACAGAGTCTGGGTGCCAGGCTGACTCTGCCACTCCAGAGCACACGTTATACCTGAGAAAGCAACAACCAGAGGTCCCTAAACACAGGCAAGCAGTGGAGTTGCAAACACTGCTGCCAAATCCATGGAGGCAGTTTCCAGATAGCACTCCATGGGACAGAAACTGGCACTGAACTCACCAACTCAGAGCTTTTTCTTGACATTCACCAGAAAACTCACTCTGCAGTTGCACACCGGCCTCATCTGCACAGTGATGACAGTGGCTACGTCCTTGGACATCAAGACACATCCTACCATGGGATTGCCCCAAGGGATTGGTTGATTTGGTTTCTGTTTCTTCTCAGTCTGAACCATAAACATGTGGAAAGCACTAAATTATTATAAAACCAATGAATTGTAGGGCTCGGAAGGAACCTCTAGAGATCACCTAGTGCAATGCTCTCCTAAAACAGGTCTCCTACAGCAGGTCACACAGGAAAGCAACCAGGAGGGCCTTGAATATCTCCAGAGAGGAAGACTCCACAACCTCCCTGGGCAACCTTTTCCAGTATTCTGTCACCCTCACAATAAAGAAGTTCTTCCTTGCATTTGTATGGAACTTCCTGCATTCCAGTTTTTGCCTACTGTCCCTTGTGCTTTGACAGCACACCACTGAGCAGAGCATGATCCCATCCACTTGATTCCCGCACTTCAGATATTTACGAACAGTGATGAGATCTCCTCTCAACCTTCTCCAGGCTCAACAGTCCCAGGTCTCTCAGCCATTCCTCATACAGGAGCTGCTCCCAGCCCCCAGTCTTCTTTGTATCCCTGGGCCCTCTCTAGTAGTTCCCTCTTTTTCTTGAACAAAGGAACCCAGAAAGAAAAAACTTGGACTGGCGAATATGCATTGAAATCCATGAGCCTGCTTTCTTATACACTGAGGCTATTTCCATTAAAAAAAAAAAAAAATTAATGAGCAGCAACACAAAGCCAAGCTTAGAGAAGGGAAAAAGACCAGGAGGTTTGCAGACCACAGTGCTCTGTCTCATGAAACACCACAACTAAGAGGGACACAGGGGTTTTAAAGCAAGCAGCATGTATTAGAGCACCGAAACTCATTCAACGTGGCAACACTGCCATCCTGCTTCCTAGTGACTCATGCTCTTTTCTCACAGTCAGCATTTCAAGAGATGTCCCAGGAAGCCTTTTCTATTCTGAAAGTGCTATGGGCTGACTGCGTGTCTCCTTCAGTTTGCTCAAATCTCCTTGTTTGTGCAGCAAATACACATCTCACTATAGAAAAAAAATAAAAGTCTCAAATGTTCATTTTAATAGTTACACCCAGCTAGAAGAACTATTTCAAAATTCACTGGTTTCTTGGTTCAGCTTCAGGCTTTATAAATCAACATTTAAGAACTGAATTAACAATTACAAAATGGTAATTAGCTCACCTTACAACTGAAAATGGTTTATTCTTTTATTTTTCTTATGTTAAATACAAAGGAAAGGGCCAAAAGCACAGAGAGAGTAGACTCCTGGATCAAATTAGATTAATCCTGCTCATTCTGTAGGCAATGTTTTGGGGAGCAGAGAATCATAGAACCATTAAGAAAAGACCTATAAAATCATGCAGTCCAACCACCAGCCCACCCCCACCACCAATACTGCCCACATCCCTCAGTGCCACATCCACACGGCTCCTGAACACCTCCAGGGACGGTGACTGCACCACCTCCCTGGGCAGCCTGTGCCACTGCATCACCGCTCTTCCTGAGAAAAAGCATTTCCCATTACTCAACCTGAAGCCACAACCTCCTTTCATCCAGGTGGTTGTAGAGAACAGTGAGATGTCCCCTGAGCCTCCTTTTCTCCAGACTGAATAATCCAGTTCCCTCAGCTACTGACCATCAGACTTGTGCTCCAAACCCCTCACAGCTTTGTTGCCCTTCTCTGGATACACTCCATGGTCTGATGGCTGAGAGGAACACAAAACATTATCCCTTGCCAAGTTCTCCCCTGCAATATAAAAAATATTAATCCCCATGACATATTATTCTTAACCGATCCCATAAAAATTAGTGTCTTCTGCAGGCCAATGAAACAAACACCTCGTTGATAGGAATGGGAAAATGAATAGACGAGTCCTGCTCTCTGCAGTTAAAGTCCAGGAGGCTGCCATGGAACTCCAGCACAGCTCCTAAAGCCAGAAACGTCCACTCACCCTGCTCCAGGAGAGCACTGAAGCCTGAGCTGATCAGTGGGGCTACTTTGTCAATGTAAGCTTACGATGAAGAAGGAAAGGAAAAGGAGGATGGACACTGCATTTGTTACTTTGTGTAATAATTCATGGGAACCTCCATATCGTTTATTCTTCCATAAACAAAAGCAGCCAGGATGTGTAAATAAAACAAGGAAACTGGAGATAAGGAAGGAGAAGCTTTCAAGGCAATTGTGAAAACTGAATAATAGCACTAATGTGGGAAGAACAGAAAAAGCTTCTCAATGAGAGAATGCAGGTTGGGATTTAGAAAGGACTGGAAAAACACAAAAGGTGAAGGAAAAGTCTTTAAAAGGTGCATTGAGCTCATGAGCTGAACAAGATTGAATAGTAAAATGAGGAAAAGGAGATTTACACCTGAAAAAAAAAAAAATCTGTTTCCATGTTTCTGGAGATCAGACCCATGGGAACTGCTGGTGACAGAACAAAGCCCCTGGTATTTGTCCCAGATTGCCCCAGACCCAAAGCTGACCTTTCACTCTCCTCAGTTGTCACACGAATGTCCACTCTGAATGCCTCAGGAAGGATGTCCCTCCTTCCAAAGTCAAAAAAACATGGTAGAAAAAGCAGATATAAGTATCAGTCTCCCATACTTGGTTGCCTCAAGGTCCTTATGGTCCTTGAGTTCATTCCATGGCCCTTGTGGTTGGTTGGCAGTGGTAGCACTTGAGGAGTGACAGGAGAGGATCCCTGCACAAGGGGACAAGGTGAATTCTAGGGTTTGGGCATGCTGCTTTCCCCATGGTTTTCAGAACACACCAACACTTTATCTTGCCCAGGGCCACTGCAACCAAAGGCCTTGGCAGCCATTTTTATCAGAGTGCTAGCATTCACTTGGTTAGCACAGCTCTGCACAATGGCCCCATGCTGCCCTGTGCCTTCCAGGTTTCCTATGCCTGGCAGCCTTCCCTGACACATGGCACTGCTTTGATGCCTGCAGGCTCAACTTTGCTCCACAGGCAGGAGGTCATGTTGATGGCTTTTTCAAAGCATCCTCCATGCCAGCCCCCTGATAATGACAAATTTTGGTTTGTTGCCTCTTCCAAGGCCTTACAGTGCTCCAAGAAGACATCATAGTCTTATAGTAATCTCACATCCACCACTCTTGAAGCCAGATGTAAAGCAGCCACAGAAAATTGTATACAGTCATCAAACCATATGAATGGTTTTCTAACTACTGACAACCGGCGGCACATTAAATATTATATTAACATCCAGCAACTCTTCTGCTGCTTCCTACGCTCTGGCAGCATGTTCTCCCTAGTTTGTCACAAGCTCGCCGTGCAGCCTATGACTTGTTTTAGGAAAAAATCCCAAAAAGGTGGTCTTCCTTCCACTGTGCCAGGCCTTCAGTCTGCAACCAGAGAGGAGGCAACACAACAGGACTGTGAGAAGGAGACGAAGCTTTTAAATGGCTGTGCCATGCGTGGAGGCAAAAGCAGCTGGTAGCTGGGCTCCAGCACTGCACTTAGGAGAAGAGGCCAAAAGACCACCAACAGCCTCCAAACATCATTTAAAGAAAAACTATTTGATGAGTTCACAAGGCCTGGCCCCAGAGCACTTTTAACATGTTGAACTACAAGAAAAGCATTAAGGCCCTGAAGCACATCCAGAGAAGGACAACATAGCTGTGAGGGGTCTGCAGCACAGGTCTTGTGGGGAGGAATGAGAGGGATTGGCCTCAAGTAGCACCAGGAGAGGTTCAGGTTGAGTATTGGGAAACATTTCTTCCCAGCAAGAGCAGTGCTGCAGCGGCACAGGCTGCCCATGAAGGTGGTGGAGTCACCATCCCTGGAGATGTTCAGGAGCCATGTGGATGTGGCACTGAGGGACGTGGGCTGATGGTTAGATTGGGTGATCTTAGAGGTCTTTTCCAATCTTAATTCTATGAACTAATTGCAGTTGATGTTTCTTTCACTCTGTGTTATCAACACCCTACATTCCAGAACAGCAAATTTTACCTGCAATACTTGACTGACCACAGCTTTCTGTAATTCTCCTCCATACGGGGCACAGCTGGAAGGAAAGGCACATCGCAATGGCAGCACATCACCCCGCACACAACTCACTCTGCTCCAAAAATAGTCATGGCTTCCTCCACCCGCGCAGCCTGGAAATAAAACATATGGAGTTAGCACGGCCACTGATTGGATTTTGATTGCCCTGAAACACTGCCAAGTTTAAAGTGGAGAGTGCGGCCTGAAAGGAAATACAGTAGACACGAGACAATTTATTTGTTTCTGAGCAGGGACCTGGCTGACAGGCTGCGTCGAAGGTGGCTAACAAGAGCAACATGTTTCCATATGGAAACCATATGGGGAAATCAGCCAGGCTCTGAAAACATGGCACAACGTATGGATCGTGGCAAGAGGAAAGAGTGGAGTGCTGTAAAATCGGTGCCAATCACAACAGCAAATTGCTGATGGATAGTGCTGATAAATAGCTGAAATAGTTAACATACTGGCAGGTCTCAGATACAGCACTCTAAAGGCCAGAGAAAGAAAATGCAGGCACTGGGGGCACTTGAAAAGGTAAGAGTGTGATAGCTGGCATCATGAGTGGCTGTATTTCCAGCAGTCTCTTGCTTCCACTCGCAAGCACGAGGGCCTTCAAAACCCTGGAAAAGGGAGGAAAAAAAAAAAAATCATAACGGGACGGCTGTGACCTTATTAAAGGTAGCAGCAGTCATTTTGTCTCCTGAGAGCAGCTGCATAATAACAACTGAAAGCGCAAATATTTACCCCGGGGTTGGGGGGGAAGCCTTGCAGCCAGGAGGGAAGCACGAGGGGAACTGCGAGAAGGAGACATATGGGCGATGGGCGTCCCCGTGGGGGACAGAGGGAGAGAAGGGGCAGAAAGGGGAAGGAAGCGTAATGCCCCGGCCCGGGCAGCAGCCCAGCGCCTCCCCGCTCCCAGCCATAACAGGCTCCCGGCTGAAGCCGTGAGCTGGGCTACATCGCCCTCCCGCGGCACCGCTGTGCACGTGTATATGATGCATCCTTGATATTAATTGCATGTATCACAGCTGAAAATCTGCTCTGTCAAATAGCGTTACTGTGCTCTTTGTAGCTGTCGTAGTTTTCGTGGAAATAAATAGGAGGTATTAGTTTCGGAGCAAAGTACAGATATGTGTGTGCTTATATATGTTATATATGATATATGTGTTTTATATATATATAAAACACACACACCCCATAAATATTTGTACATATGCATATTAAGTATTTATATACACAGTATATATATACATACACACATATAAAAGGTACAACTGGAGTTAAACAAACACAAGAAATACTACTTAACCTCAAAACATTTCAGTCAATAACAAGCCCTTTTGAATTCTGTTTTCTTTTGTTTGTCAAAATAGATGAAGTTTGTCTCTTTTTTTTTTTTTAAAAAAAAAAAAAAAAAAAAAACACAAAACAGACCCCTCCATCCTCACGTTTCCAAGTTATTTTGGTTCAGTCACTCAAGAAATAAAGAAGAAATAGCAGATATCCCAAGCTGGAAGGAGCCCACAAGGACCGTGTCCAAGTCCCGGCTCCACACAGCACCACCCAAGAGAAGAAAATGTTCACACAGTTTTAAATCAAAGGGCAAAAAAAAGAAAGAATTCATTGAACACACAGAAACACAAACAATCTGGTAACCTGAAAGCCACCAAGGTCCCATTTGGTGCTGGTGATGAGTTGCTGAAATATTTGCAGGACAGTATATAGGTTACACTACTGTTGTCTTTCACTGTTTATACTGCCCACAAAGTTCTGTTTTTTCATTTTCTTAATGTTATAATTTTAAAGATACGTGCAATTGATTTAAAAAAAAAAGCAAAAAAACTTACTCTGTAGAGAAGGTATTCCTTTTCCACATCACTTCTCAAGATTTATAGCTTTCATTTTCACAGGTGACAGTTCAGAAACTATTTGCTTGTTCTGGATATTTCTACATATTTCTTTCATGTCTTCAACAACAGCAGGATTTCAACAGTAATTTTATTTGTTGGTTAAATTTATATACGATTTACACAGGAGAAAAGTGGTCCAAACCTTATAGAAATCAACAGCATTTACAGCGACTGAGCAAAACCCTTGCAGGAAAACAACAGATTCCATTACAGTTTCATCTACCCTCCAAAATCCTTTCTCTGTCTTTAGAAGATTCTCAGAGGTAGATTCCTCCCCAGAATTACCCAAAATACTATTCCAGGATTTTTAAAACCAATCCTGAAGATGACCTCAAATTCCACCCAACCCTTGCTGTGGGGAGGGCTGCCCAGGGCCCCATCCAACCTGGCCTTTAACACCTCCAGGGATGGGGCACCACAGCTTCTCTGGGCAGCTGTGTCAACGCCTCACTGCCCTCTGAGTAAGGCATTTCCCCCTGTCATCTAGCTTAAATATCCCCTCTTACAGCTTGAAACCATTCCTCCTTGACCTATCACAATCTACCTATGTTAGAAGTCAGTCTTCCTCCAGTTTGGAAGTTCCTTTATAAAGTCAGCAGCGAGGTTTCCCTGCAGCCTTCTCTTCTCCAGGCTGAACCATCTCCTTCAACCTATCTTACCAAACATCAGAAGCACAGCACACATAAATACTACTTCAGGCCTGTTTCTGAACAACTTGGGATTGCTGCACCTTTCCTGCACAGCTGGGTGATGCATGGTCAGTGAGTTTCTGACTCTCAAGGCCTGACCAAAGGGAGCTTTTTTCAGTCATCACAAAATGGGTTTGACACTTAAGATTTCTCACCCCGTAATTACACTTTTAAGGTCAGAATGTTTAAGTGTATCAAAAATAATAACAACAATAAAAAAAAAGTGGGCCAGAAAATAACAGCTGGGTAAGTCGCTGGAACAAAAAACACTTTTTGTCTTTAAAACACACGGATAACACTGTCCAAGTGCAGCAATGACCAAAGCCCTTTTCATCTTGTTTTAAGCACACCTTTAAAACAAACCACAACAATGGACACAGCTTCCCGCATCCACTTCCTGCTATGAACCATTCTAATTCTTTGAAATAAATATGTTTTGGGTTATTTTGGTTAGCATGATGTTTAATATCATTCCCCCACTGTGTAAGTGTGTCAAATACACCAAAGATTTAACATCTGCTACAAATAATTATCCAGAGGACCTCAAGTCCTCTATTTTAAGATTATTAGGATATGATACAGGTGGCCAAATCATTAAAATATGGGTTCAATTCAATACTCATGAATTTTCATAACACGCACGGGATGCTGACGTCTGGAAGCCACATGTTGAAGCTAAGAAGGCATGGTTGGCTTACCTCCCAGACAACTGGCCATTATGGAGGGCCTTGAGTCCTCTGCCTTGCCCTGATGGAGTCACCACGTTGAGGATCAGACCTGCTGCCTGGTGGAGAATGGCATCAGATGTGGCTGAGCCCAAATCAGAACCAAACCATACAACATCTCAAGAATAAACCAATACAAAATCTGATCTACAGCGCTGACTTGGAAAAACATTTTTGTTTTCTTTTATATGCAATTACTAAGTTCATTGAAAACCAACATTTGCATGTGCTTTAGAAAGCTGTGTCGTCAGTCGTGGGTGCCACTGACCTGACCAGCCTCCAGTTTTTATTTCTGACCTGTGTCATCACCTCCACACTGACGTGCTCCATTAAAGTGAATGAACATAGAACCTTAGAGGTTGGAAAAGATCTCCAAGATCACCCAGTTCAACCATCAGCCCACCCCCACCATGCCCACATCCCTCAGTGCCACATCCACACGGCTCCTGAACACCTCCAGGGACGGTGACTGCACCACCTCCCTGGGCAGCCTGTGCCACTGCCTCACTGCTCTTGCTGAGAAGAAACGTTTCATAATATTCAACATGAACCTCTCCTGGTGCAACTTGAGGCCATTCCCTCTTGTCCTATCACTGCTACATATGAAGAGGTTCCTCACACATGCCCTTATCCAACTTGTAGCAAAGTGGAAGAACATACAGAACTAAAAGCAGTGAGAGAAATCGCTGAGCCACTTTTCTACGAATCCACTCTTTGCACAGCAGCACGTGTGGTACTGTAAGACCATCTCAGGTGTGCTCATTTCCTGTCACTCTGCACAAAGCAAATGGGTAGAGTCCCACTGGGGGCTCATACCAACTGCTCCTGGTGCTCTGTACCAGCACTTCCCAAGGAACGCACAAAGGAACTGCCTGTTCCTAACTATCCACAGGATTTGTTGCAAGTACTTTGCAGGATTTAGAGAAATGGTCTGGCACAGTATTTTGCAGGTGCCCTCTGTGCTTGTTCAGCATTGAAAATACATGTATCTCAATCCAGTTTAGAGACAAATTAAACTGAGCAGCATAGAGGCGTCCTCTGTCACCTGTGGAAGCCAGCACACCTTGAACACCTCTCCTACTTTTCAAGAGCCACCTCAAACCCCAGTTTCATAGGATGATCAGCAAATCAGAGTTTTTTTTTCCTACTGTCTCGTTTCCCATATGGCTGCTTCTATATTAGTGCAGCTACAGATCTTCTATTTGCAGCCTTCCTACTCATGGAATTTTTTCTGAAGGAAGACTGTGCCTCTGCCACATCTGTTGGGCCACGACAGTGTTGCCCCTGAATCACCGTGGGGACCCTTCTACCTTCCTTCCCTGGGTCATTAATTCACTATGAGGCAGTACATTTGCTTTAAAGAGCCAGTGGAAAAAAAAGTCTGTTTCAGTAAACCATGAAAAAAGGATCAAAAGTCTGAATCTGACCCAACAGAAGAATTAAAATATCAATCCAAAGCATACGAAATACGGTGTGTTTACCATTAAGAAAGCACTCCACAGTCCTCTGATGAAAACATAGGGAAAGAAGCCACAATCTATTCAGGAAAACGTCTACATTTAAAAACTGCAAACCTTTAGAAACTATCATTTAATTTTCACTTTTTTTCTACATTTGACATCTACACTGTGGAAGCAGAAAAATTCCTCCTTCTTGGGCCTTGTTCATCTTTGACATCTGACCTTTGTGTTGTGATGGAGCACCAAGGAGGGCTGGCTTAAGGGAGGGGGAAGGGGGGAGAAGTGCCTAACTCGGTAACAAAAGCACGAATGGATGATCCTTAAGGTCCCTTCCAACACAGTGCATCTGTGATTCCAAAACAAGCCTGGCTTACTGCACGGTAATAGTATGCACATGTCCAGACTGATTCACACCAGTGGGGACTAGTATAGCACAAAGCTTGACTCACCTGCAGGGTGGATCACAGCTGGAAGGAAACACCTGGATGCAGGGAGTAAAACCAGCCAAATGATATCTAACCAAATCATCACATCCCAGGCAGATGTTTCCAGCCTATGGAGACCAATCGCAACCTCGGACAGAACGCTCCAAAGGTTAACAGACATTCTAACTTACAAGTATGCAAGAGTTTTCAGTCTTTTAATTGCCAAACTGCTTGAGTTTTATCACTATATTAAAAAACAGACAAACAAACAAAACACAACAACAAAACTGAAAATGAAAAAAAAGCTCCTGCTTGTTTTTCCAAGGAGGCTGCGGATGCCCCATTCAAGGCATTCAAGACCAGGTTGGATGTGGCTCTGGGCAGCCTGGTCTGCTGGTTGGTGACCCTGCACATAGCAAGGGGGTTGAAAGTGGATGATCATTGTGGTCCTTTTCAACCCAGGCCATTCTATGGTTTTATGATTCAAGGTGTTTAAGAGTGTTCTCACATCTCAGCATAAGTTCAACTGGTAAAAACTGAATTACAGCTCAAGGGATAACACTTTTAAACACTGCATAGGTAATAAAAGCAGTACTAGAAGTATATTTACAGTTCCTGTAAGAGCCTGCCTATTTTTATGAAATATTTTTCTTGTTATATACTTTATTGTTAACCAAACACATACAGTGTGCAAGTAAGAAACTGGTGCAGCCAACAAACAAATCTTCCAGAGCAACAGAATTCCCAACTCAGATCAGTTGCACAAATGGGTTTTAATTAAAATGCTACGCAGAAAAAAAAAAAAAAAAAAACATAGGAGGAACCATATCCTGCACTTCACAAGTCTATTTGAAAACAGAGGACCCTTTCAAGTAACAGTTACTTGCTTAACTCTAGCTATGTTAACTGAAGTTGAAAACAACGTCTTGAGTAAGTCAACTTTAAACCCACATCAAGAATGTCCTACTACAGTGGCAACCACGATACAGTGAGCAGTTTAAAACATCAAATAAAACCCCAAACTAACAGAAGTTACAGTGGGCTTGCTGAAGCCTGGAATTACTTGCTTCAGTGGACGCTGACTCAGCCAACAATTTTCCAACCAGAAGGGATGGCAGATCCATGAAAAGAATATGTGCAGAAAGTTTCACTGAACATCCAGTGTAAGTCAAAGTTAAAGGAAGCAGAGAACTCCAAAACTGCTATATTCTTTTTGCACCAAAGGATAAACTGTGTGCAATTTAAAGATTTCTGTTCACCAACAACACCAGCAAAGCATATTTTCTTAATCACCGTATTCTTATTAATTTATCTTAAATCTTTACTTAAAACGTGTATATGCAGTTTAGTTCAACAAGTCAAAACTGCATGCCAACTCTAACAAGTACTTTAAATACACTGCGAAATTGTCAGTAAGTTTCAGAGTTTTTTCAAGTACTTTAGAATTTGAATGCCTACCTTCTTCCAAAAACTGTGCATTCAGCATAAAAGATTTTGTGAAATAAATGTCAAGGTTTGTCCTGGCGAATCCTGCTGAAGCACCTTGCAAGCCTACTGCCATGCTGGTTCCTGCCTCTGTCCAAAATCTGACAGAAAGCCAGCTCCTGCACTTCAATAACTCCGACTGAAGCTGCAAAGAAACATAAGTCCTTGACGAGGTACTGCAAATGGGAACTGAATGTGGGCACGTACCTCTTCCTGCCTGATCTGCAGGCAGTGCCATTCTGAACTGCTGTGATCCTTTACTCAGTGAATCCAATTCACAGCTCTCCCATGAGTTCAAGCAAGACCTGCATTCCTGCCTCTTTGTAAAGCAAGCTTATTTTCCATTAGCAATTCCTTAAAAGGTATCACTATTAAAAAATATGTATATACACATGTACATACATATACATACATAAAAAGATGCACATAATATTTTCTTCATGGCAGGAATCTTTAAGTTAGGTAATATAAGCTGAAGTAGAAAATAGACAAGAATACATTGACCATATTTACTCTTTCGTATATGTGAGGAGTCAATTTGGATATGACAATTCCTTCAGGAAGAAGAAAAGAAATTGCTTTTCATATCTAAGATATCTTTCCTCACAAAGCTGCTCCTGGAGAAAGTCTTCCATCCCTACAGAAAAAAAAATGTGTGTTTATTGCGATGAACTAGAAAGCAACCAAAATGAATTCAGAAGTAAAAATCAAGTAGAATTTATTCCACTTTTAAAGAAATAACTACAATTTCAAAGTGCCATCTCTGGAAGAAACTGGAATTTAAAACAAGTGTCATCCGTGTTGTAAGTGTCCTCTTTAGATATAGATATTATTGTGAGTTTCACCAGTTGTCAGCAACTTCTTCAAAATCTTTGTGCTTTCGGATACATCCTAGGAAAAGGAAATGACAATCAGCATTAGCTACATCCCTGTTAACAAAATAGAAACAAACCAAAACCCACCAAGCCTTGCTATCACCCGTTCCCGTTTTCAATATTATGAGTATCTGTCTGGTAAACATGTTGATTGTAAACAAATATCACCTTAATGAAGGTATCTAGAAAACTCTCAAAGGCACCAAAAGGAACTTGCAGTTTAACAATGCAATGGGGTTTATCAATTTGGCTTTTTCCTCTTTTACAGTGGAGGAAGAGTCTGCATTTTCACTGTTTTTTTCCTTCCATAGATGTAAATGAGTACATTACCACAGAATGGCCTGGGTTGAAAAGGACCACAAAGATCATCAAGTTTCAACCCCCCTGCTGTGTGCAGGGTCACAAACCAGCAGACCAGGCTGCCCAGAGCCACATCCAGCCTGGCCTTGAATGCCTCCATGGATGGGGCATCCACAGCCTCCTTGGGCAACCTTTCCAGTGTAAACCCGTTTTATGTTTAAACATTTAGGGGTTAGTCATTTGCACTTACACTGTAAATGAATGCTAACTGGTAATTTCCATACTTCAAGCTGAAGTAAGTACTTCAATACACGCAAATGCCTTCTATCACTGAAATGGAAGTCCAACTGGCAAAACTGAGGAGGGCGTTGTGCGATGTGAACCAACTATACTTTGATTGAAGTGTTTCAGAAAGCAGCAAAACATTCACCTCAGCATCCCAGAATACCTTGATTTGCTTGGTTAGCGCAAAAACATTGTATCATCTTTATAACTGAGTTTGTAGCT